AAAAATATTAAAAGGTAATTTGCACTGACTTTATAAAAAGAAATGCAAATCTTCCTAATTCCAATAGCGGTTTGCCGTGAATTAGTTTCAAAAATTCATTCAAGGTACCACTTTATCATATTATAAGAATTTAAGAACCTTACCATAAAAAAATAATAATAATAAAAGAATTTAAGGACCTTGAGTTCACAGTCGTTCGGCTCATGAGTCACACGGATATAGGTAATCAAAGTGTGATTAAGTGGTCTCATTTTGATCAACATAATTCAGAAACACTAGAACATACCTCAGAACATAATGCCATTTTTACCGTCTTCCCCAGTCAACTCACTGACTCAGTCCCAATTGTCTGCCTAAACTGTTACAGTATTGAGAAGTCAGAAAATGCCGTCTCAATCCTACACGGACTAATTAATGCCAATAGCAACCCTGTATCGAGAAGAATAGATCACGGAAATTTCCGAGTCAACCCTGTTTTCCTTTCATTATAGGATAGTGTAAGCCCTTTTCTTCAAGATGACAACTAATGCTGTAGTACTTTATAAAAAAAAAGGAGAAATCTCAGGGATCTGAAGGCTGTACATAATCGTATAAAGCCTGAATATTCCCCCTTTTTCACTATCTAAATAAGTGAGTCCTCTTACATTGACCCAGAGGATATGGTGTGTTGAGTTTCTCAGGGTCAGGGAGGTGTGGGAGAGATAAGGGCAAAGATGGGTTCTTTTGCAGCTATCTCTGTTCTTGTTTTGGGTTTGGTTTTGAATGCTGCAGTGCTGTGTAATGGAGGAAAAACTAGTAGATTTGTGAGGAAACTGGAGAAAACTGAGGACATGCCTCTTGACACTGATGTCTTCAGAGTCCCCCATGGCTACAATGCACCTCAACAGGTCGGTGCTTTTACTTCTCTTACTTTCTTAGGCATTAGAGGTTATTATATATATATATATATAAATTAATCTTTTTGGTGCATTTCATTTTTCAATGCTCTGTTCTTTTTGGGATTTATATATAATCCAAAAGCAAGACCAATATTGATGATATTTTCCATGTTGCATACGTCATGTTTGTGTTGTATACTTAATTGGTTTTGTTTAAATCTGAGCTCTTTTTGATGTTTTGGACTTGTGGGTATTTTGAATTAAGGTTCATATAACACAAGGAGATCATGAGGGGAAAGGTGTGATCGTGTCATGGGTGACTCCAGATGAGCCTGGCTCCAACACAGTCGTTTACTGGAAGGAGGACACCAAGGACAAGAAAAAGGCAGAGGGCAAAGTCTATACCTATAAGTTTTACAATTACGCCTCTGGCTATAT